TTTATTATTTTTAGCCAACGGAAAGCTATATCATACGAGATCGACATTGGCTGTAATTTAAAAAGAAAATTATATTCTCTTTTCAAAAAGTAGGACCGACTTCAAACTTTAAAAAAGTAAGACATAATAATCATTTTAAAATACGAGTAATAATACTTTCTCTTTTTAATAATACTTTTTTTTTCAAGTTAGAAGACGGCTCTATTTGTTTTTTTATGGTTTTTATTGATATTGTTTTTTTTTTGTAGAACATAGAAATTCCACCTTTCGTATTTTCAATGAATGCAAAATATGCAATCTTTTGTTTTTTCACTGATATAAAAATGACGTCAAAATAATGTGGTGATATTTGGTGAAAATTATAATTAGTTTTTTTATGTTATAAATAAAAAACTTCCATTTCGATTTCGACAAAATTCAACCAACTCGGGCCCATAAAAAAATTGTATATCAATTCATATTTGGCGAAGCAATCCCACAAGAAATATACAAAAAAAAATACACTTTTTTGAAGTCGTTTAATTAGAATTCTTACCCGAATATGAAAGAAGATACGAAACCTACAATAACCGATTTTCAAGTCATAGTTTTCGATTGTTTTCGAGTTTGTTTGTATCATTACAATACAAAAAATTTCACGATAAATAACATTTTCAAAGCTGTAATTCTATTTTCCAATAGTTTAGTTATAGTGTTACATCATTTATTGACATTCAGCTTTCGTTCTAAAATTGTATGATTATTGCGTCCTTGCAAGTGAACTAAGTTAGAGAGGACAATTAAGGAGCGCTTCACATAAATAAAAGAAGTATATTATTATTATTATATTTGATCAATTTTTCATTCTTCAAACTCCACTTTGTCCCTGGCACTCGGAGATGGGACTCAAACTCATGACCTTTGTCTATCCGGGTGACTGCTCTAACAACTAAGCTATATAACAACAATTTTTATGTCTGATCCAAATATACCTAAAGTTCATGAAAATCAGAAGAAAAATTATAAGTATCTAAATTTTCTACCCCTTTTTTGTTTTGTTTACTTATTTAAGACGTATAAAGTTATTTACAACAAAATTAAAATTAATCAAGTTAGGGGGCTAAGTTGATAGTTTACACTTAAATCTATATCAATATCCGATTCATTGCCAACGATTGCGATATAATAATAACAAGCATTTGCGTTTTTTTTAAACGGCCACATAAATCTTCTCAGCATAAAAAGAGTCATGCTAAATTAATTTAAAAACTTCTATGTATAGAAGTATATGTAGGTGTCTTTTCTTTAATAGGTCATATTAAAAGTAAAAAATATTAATTCAAAGTGAAACGATTAAGTTTTAAATAAGTAGTCAATATAACTAACAGTTGCTTATTGGATATATATAGCATAACAGATACTAATGATTAGAACATTCTATATTCAAATCCACCTGCTATCTAATAAATAAGATATCAAATGGTTCGAGCTCCATCTGAAAGTGAAAAAGCGCTTTACGCAACTAACTTACATAGCAAAGCGATGCGTGGGCGATGCGCCCGCAGCGACCTATCTCTGAGTACAAATTATAATTTCAAAATCCCCATCGATTTATGTGAACGCTCATCTGTATATAGCGCAGGCCCCTGTTATTCTTTATCTTACTGCTGTTTCTCGACAGCGAGAATCATTTGGTTTTTACACTGAGCGAGTTTATCACGTTGCTACAGTTGCGATTAAGCTTTAAAAGCAAACAGTTTTCATTGTATGACGTTATCAATATTTTTTAGCGATATACTATTTATGGATATTTTTTTTTAATGGAACATCGATTAAGAATTTCTGTAAATGAAAAAAGGAACGTTAAGCTCCTTTAAGAAGCTGCCATTAATGCTATGTAATAATATTATGTACAGGGCTTCGTGAAGTGAATGAGTTAAATATACCCGCCAACTTTTACTATGGGAGCAACACTGAAGTCATAAAAGTATAATCAGCTGTTTCATACAAAATTGTAACACCTAAAATCGCCAACAGTGTGAAACAACGAAGAAGAGAAATGAAGTGGCTTTTAAGTTTTTTGTAATACTGAATAGTTTATAACCAATTTAATGATAACTTTCCATCGATATATCTAAATAAAAGCAGCAATCTTACAAAGACAGGAAATAATGTTATGAAAATAAATGCATATGTAAATTTAAATGTAATATATAGGTATGAAAACGTGCAGTCTCTGTAATCGTTTTGAAAACTTAACTTTAAACGATTTAAACGCTAGTTTAAAATCAATTTTAAAATAAAAATTAAAGTCCTACTATTGAATCTATAACAAATTGAGCTTTTTCGTCTGAAATATTCGTAAAATGTATAGTTATGACATAACTATGTTACGTGAGTTCAAGTGTCTGTCATACAGCATTGTGATGTCGTAATATTAAAATTTCCCACTCGCATGTACATTTTATGAGTTACATTGAATTTGTGTTCGCAATTGTTCATCGCAGGGCATTAACATTCAATGACAATGGTAGCGTTCAATGATCCATTACAAAGTAAATCGTCACAAGAAACGTTCTGAATAGGAAAATATCGAGAAAACATCACTCGGTGATTGATGATCGATTTCAATGTGCATTCGTCAAGTCTTCGATACTCTAAATAGAGGATAATATCTATGCTAATATTATAAAGAGGTAAAGTTTCTAATTTATTTGTTTGTTCTAATTCATCTTCGGAAATACTTATCTGATCATAAACATTGATTTCACCCACAGGAAGCTCATAGACATCATACGCGAGTATATTTAGGATATAATTATGCGGGCGAATTCGTAGGAAAACGGCTAGTTTTTAGTAAAATGCAAAGCCTAGATCCAAGGGGATTCAAATATGGAATATTTCTTTGTAATAAAATGTTACCTGGAATATGGAATTATGATGAAGCTATAAGTGATTACTTTAAAAATCGGTCCAGTAGATCACATAAAATGTAAACGAATCTTTTCTTTTTATAATATAAGTATAATATCAAAGACTACCAATAAACAACCGATAGGCGATAGACATAAAATATAATTTAAAGATCGATTAATTTGAACAGAAACTTTAGGTAAATTATGTAACAAAAATATTTGCAAATTTATTAAATATGAAGAAAATAAACTTCCAATGCAGTGGGGTTGTAATAGAAACGTTTCCTTTTCATGCTTGTGAGGACCTGTACTTAGCTATCTGCTTCCTAATTTCTTTAGGACACAAACAGCTAACAAAAAATTATACTTAAAGAAATTAGGAAGACAACACATCTTAAGATATAAAAAAAAAATAGCTATCTAACATCTAACTTTGTGTTTTTAAAACTATCATAAGTTTCTATTTTTATCAAAGTGAGATTCATATGTGCATTTCTCAGTTAATTATTTATTATAAATATTCAATCGGTTCTTGCAATTTTTGTTTCCTAAAGCACAACAATAAAAATACAGTCCAAAACTATCCGAATGACCAGTGGTCATGAGTTGTAACATGTACCAATATTACAAGTATGTTAGTCAATTGAACAACTGTTACAAAACTATTGATTAATTGAAAGGTAAACTTGGTGTTAGCATTCATATAACCATGATTGATTCGATCATAATAATGTTACGTACATATTTCACTTGACATAATTCAAGTTTAATGTTCAATGTTAATGCCCTACAATAAATACTAGCAATTAAGCCTTCCTATTCTCACATACATATTTAGCTGCTAAAAACTTTATCAGCTCTAGAAATAGTTTATCTGGCAGACGAGTTACGAAGATGCTGAATGTATACTAAAACTGCGAACATTAACGAAGAAAAAGCGGACAACTGAATGTATTTTTGTAATATAAATAAGAAGCAAGAACTTTCGAATATGTCAAAAAAATAAAAAAAACATCAAGATTTAAAATTAATTCAATAGTAAACATAATTCATAAAGAACCATAATGTAGTTTCATTTTAACTGCAGATCACTAATTTAAAATTAATGGCTGATCCTTTGTCCAGTCCGTCTTATCTTTTTATGAGACAAAATTCGTTTATTATTATAAATTAACATTACCGATACAAATTTAAAAATTTCGAACATTTATTAGCACTGTCGTTATTAAACCATATTGGATTGGACGTATATGCAACTGAGCGTGTGACCTCTAATAATGACAAACAATCAGTAAATCCCCATTCTTAGATATTAATTAACTTTTCGTGTTTAAACAACATCATTTAAACGAATAAATTATAAAGGTAATAATTGATAGCGGTCATAAAACGGCATGTTTCATTTTCCATTCAGCGATTAAAACATTTAACATTAAAATAACATTTCGTTCGCTGGCAATTCCCGCTATCGTCCCGCTATCCGCTTACTGCTATTTCGCAACCTTACTACCTCCATTAGCGTCTATCATTCCTGTATACGCAACGCTGACAATCGACGGGGCGTCACATCTTATGGTGCCTGATAATTCCGTCATGCATATAGAGTTAAAAGCGTACGTAAATTGCAATGTGTGACCTGACATTGGTTATAAAATTAATGGTGTTATTGATATTTTGTTATTGTGAAACCGAGAGCTGTTTCGCTATGGGAATTGAATTGTGTGCTCGATTATGTGAGCAGCGATTAAATTATTTTGAAATAACATTTACTACCATCTAAAGTGGATAATTGGAATTTCTTTATCGTTATACAGGATTAATTAAATTTTATATATTGCAGTATTAAATTGCATTTTAGTCAAATGCTTCTAAGACGTGGCATCAAAGTTTACATCGCAGAAACATGACACTGTAGAATAATACTCAAATAAAACATTATCTGAGTATAATTTAAGTTGCCATTGATTAAAATAGAATATTTTCTGGGCGCTGTTTTTATTATCACAATTCTGCGGACTCTGGTTTCTTCTTTCCATTTATTTATTTGCCTCACAACAAGCGGGGTAGCCGCTTAAGGAAAATTATAAGTCACTATAGATAACTGACCTCATGCGTGGTGTCTCCCCTGTGGTGCCGCTCCTCTGTCTCTCTCACATGTTCTGTAACGTTTCTGGTAAGCACTTTCAGGTCTTTGCTTTCGCGAACTTTTCCGTCAGGGTTTGCGACAACCCTTGATGACACCAACACCTTGGTACCGGCCGGCGCGATCTCTCCGCTGAGCGCTTGAAGGCTATCCACTTCTGTGGACAGTAAAAAAATTAAGTGCTTTTCTCGAATCTTAATTATAAACGATTATATTATATTCATCAGCCAATAGATGGCGTTCGTATTGAGTGAACTTTCGCTTTTATATATACTACATATAGATTTACCATCAGGTGGAGCACCGATGACTCCACTGACCCTTCCTGGCAACGCTGATGAGTCATAGTCAGTGGCTTTATCGTCTGGTACTCTATGCTATAACAGACAAAGTATAAAGACTCATTATTATTTGGTAGACATAAGACATACTGTAACATTTTTAAGAAGAAGACATAAGATATGTTTACTATATTTATAAAAAGGAAATATTTAAACTCCAGGACCGTTAACAAAAAAATCTTTCACCTACAGGAAGCTACATAATACCCAAGTGACATGGGCTTAAATTAAGTTTTCTATAAATATATTATATATATAGATATCATAATATGTTGTAATATTAACTAATATATTATTCAAGTACCTTCTTAGAGGCCATCCATTAATCACGTGAGGCTCGAAGGGGGGAGGAGATTAGTCAAAAATCAGGAAATATAACAAGGATGAGAGGGTGTAGAAATGAAATGTAGGTACCAAAAATACACGTGATTTGGGTGGAGGGTGACCACAAGAGGGAGGGGTGGTTAAAAATACTGAAAAAGCAACACGTGATTAATGGACGTCCCCTTAGTAAAGAGCATTATTTTTTTTTTAAATAATGGAAACATTGTTTTTCTTGAGACACTATATTACATGAATATTTTTTGTAGTATTTACTCAGGGACCTTTAAGTTCATTGACGTTCCATTCATCATCATAAGCGTCTATTACCCCACAGTTGACACAAAAGCCTAGACAATTATTGGAACCACACTGCGAAAAGGGGACCATAGTTCAAGAACCAAGTGCAGATTGGTGGGTGTGAGCCATTGCAGAAGCAACCGGGACGCCTCAACGCGGCTATAACAAATTTTCGGTTACCCATCGAAAGATTAGCATTTGCGAATGTTACTTAACGTGGGCAATCGTAGACAGAACGCACTGACTTTAACTATACATATAACTACAATGGCAATAGTTAGTTACCTCCGTTTGCTGAAGGTTGGTAGTATGTGTGTCCTCATTGACTGAAGTAGAGATTTTTGGACCGGAATCTTTGAGGATCTTGCCGTCTTCTAGTACCAGCTCACGCTTCACTCTGGTCGCTATCTGACGTGTCGTTGTCACTTCGCTCGTCTTTCGTGTCACCCATTCCTCTGCAAAGATTAATAATAATGGGCAAAAAATACCTATTTTCATTTTTTATTTATAACAAAAAAATATTTGCCATTTTAAATCAATCAACTGTGTGCTGTTTGAAGGTGATGTCAGAAGCCATAAAAACCGGCGAAGAGAGATGAAAGTGGACGAGGCGAAAGATGTAAGCTATTTAAGGACCGTACTTTGTGGCGTTCGGTCATTTAAGGACCGTACTTTGTGGCGTTCGGCAAGGGATACGGCGTGAAGATATAGATAGATAGATCCTCGATTATTATTTAAGTTAATTATAAGAGTGTAAGTTGAGGTGTAAAAATGTTGGTAGACTTTAAAAATGAGATAAATAAAAATACTAATTTAGTGTGTTTAAAAGGTATCAAACAAAACTTCTTTGAACGGAAAGTAGGTATTCGTATAAATTAGTAGGTACCTTCTTTGGTTGTTGCTATAGTATCCCCGGGTTCAGCCTGTGAACAAAAAAAAATTAAGTTAATACTAAAATCCGTAGCCGAGTGGTTCGCACGCCTGTTTCAAGGTGTCGCCATCTCTGAGGTCCCGGGTTCGATTCCCGGTCGGGTCAATGTAGAAAATGAACTTTTCTATATTGACTCGGGTTTGGGTGTCGTGGTACCTTCGTTGTCTCAGATACTCCATAATACGGTGGCTTTAGCTACTCATCTTGGAATCTGAGCAATGTATGTGATGTTGTTAAATATAATATTTTATATATAAATATAAATAGAGCTGTAGACATCCAAAAGTCACTTTATTTAACTGTTTGCACTATTGCTGCACTCTGGCGACAGATCGTTGCAACAAAAGTTCATCGTCAATGTGAACTGGCATAATTTATTTTTGTTGTAGTTCAATATTATACTATTTTGTCTTAATTGTGTCTTTTCTTAATTTCTAAGTTTTTATCACAATATTGTTGACAGTGTAATCAATTTTACTCCCTAACTATTAATACCGTTAATCTTAATATTTGTCTCCCTTCCTCCAAGTAATTGTATGCACATTTAATGCCATCTCTTACCGAGTAGCGAAAATAAAGATTGCTTTCAACATGCTCAGATGGTTCTGACATAAAATGTAATAGTACACGCGGCCGCCGCTTGATGGCGCCATGATCACTGAGCGCGAACACTGTCACCATGAAAATACATAAAATTGCTACACTTTTCAATTAAATATTCACTTTCTTAACACTTCACGTGGATTATTCAGTTTTTTACACAAACTGTCAGTTTTTCTATACAGTCTCATCACTTTCAAAATTTATTTACAAATCTAAACATCACCATAATTAATGTAGTTTGTTTACATGAAAATAACGTCTAATTAAGAACCTATGTACAAATCATCCGGCCTAATCAAAGGTAAGTTATTGACTGCAGGAAAATGAAGAAGCTACCAATAACATAACTAATGATCGGTTGGATTAACATTGCGTTTTGGTACGAGTTACTGTAATAATACAATGAGTATTCTATTCATACAGTTTCACTTCCGCTGGGACCATAAGAAGGGACATGGGTTCTTCTCATTCAGCCATCGCACTTAGATAGCTGTTACCACGTGACTTCAATCCCGTAAATTAAGTATAGCCTTGTGTTGATGATGTAACTTACCGTAAGTTTTTTTTTAATCGACTAAGTAGTTTAGGAGCCTATTCGATGCAAACAAACAAACAAAATAATCTTTCCTCTTTATAGTAGGTATATGCCTACCACGTGTTTAGGGTTACCACCCGTACTTTATAATAAAGTATTGTACGTTATTTCAGACAATTGTACTCTATACTCTATAAGAAAAATAAAGAACACGAAAATACTTTATGTCGTATGATTTGATTTGTTTGTGATTTTGAAGCTTAGTCGTAAGTATTTTTTTGTTAAACAAAATTTATCGATTCATGCTGAATCGATAAATAAAAAGATAATGTATTTTTAAGTTTAGTAATAAATAATACTTTATTTTGATTCAATTTACTTTGTTTTTGTACCTATAATAACTAATGTACTTTAATTAGGGAAAAAAAAGGTGGCAACCCTACACGTGTTCCAACGTGATACCTACATCTATGTACCTAATAGATGTATAACGTTGGAAATGAATGATTTTATTGATGATAAAAATCAAATTAGAAACTTATTAACATTACATAAAAATATTTATAAATCCATTTATTGGTTAAATTTATAGTATTTTTTTTTATATAATTTGTCTCACAATCGGCCACACAATAACTTTTTTAGTAACAGAGTGGTAGAAGCTTGGAACAGATTACCGACTGAAGTAGTGTCAGCACATACTACAAAACAATAGACAAATTCATGAAACAAGAATAATGAAATATCTCACACAAAAGATATATGGATACAGGCCACATCAGTTATCGCGACTGTCTGTCTGTTTTTAATAATCAAAAAGGGTTATTAACCTGTCATAATTTACACGTAAACTACAATTTGTAAGGTCACGAAAACGCAGCATTTATCTGATTTAGGCATATTTTATCCAACTTAAATAAAATTGTCAAAGCTCATGGTATTTTTTAACTACCTACTTAAGATTTGTAGAGTCATAAACATGTCATCATAATTCAAGTTTTAAGTCTACTGAAGTGTAAATCATTTTTAAATTATATTGTGTTTTCCACTGGATAGTAAAACAATAAAAATTCAAGAACTCAATAAATTATTCATAAAAAAAACATAAAACTTATATGTACATAAATGCGTTAAGGCGATTCGAGCTCGAATTAAGTAACATTACATTCTCAAATCATGGTTTGTACTATCTGTCATCATTTGTTCGTATCTTAATAGTTTTATTTGGGGTCATGACCGGATCTATAGAGGTGTAGAAAAAAAAATGAATTACACTTCATGAATGTATTTAAAATTTTTTGGAACGCGACAGACATGTTTTCAAATTCAATTAATAAAAAAAACTTAAGCTGCCAAAATATGGTATTATAAAATCCAGCCTTTCGGAGCGGAGACTTCTTCTCAATATTATCTTCTTTCTTACATATATCATCTTTCACACAATATTAATCTTGGTCTATCTTCTGCAATTTTTATAAAACATTGCATTTTCCACTTTTTAAAACAGGTTGTTATCTCGAAAGAGATGTTAAGTATCATAATTAGAATTAGAAATTAGTAGTAAATAATAGAATTTGAAATAAAAAGAAAATAATTTTGTTATTAAAAAAAACTAAATTATATAGTAGAAAGATTTTATTACTTGTTTGCATTAAACTGCCTCCAAAAATTTTTTTCACCTAGTGGAAGCTATATCATACACAGCCCGCAAGTGACCAATGATTATAATTTACGTAGGCAAAGTCATGAAAAAACAGCAAGTATTATATATTCAGATATATTTAATGCGTATCATTATTTATTTGTCTAACGTAATTTAACGTCCCAACGGAGAAAAAAGAAAATAAGGATATAGTTACGAAACATGAATGAATTAAAATAAGAAAGTTATGGGTGTGTAATTACAAATAATAAATCATAGCTAGGTACTCTAAATTAAAAGTTTGATTGAGTGTAATACAATAATAATAATATTCTTTATTGCACGCTAGACAGGACATAAAAACAAAGGAACAGGACAGGAAATTAGAAAAAAAAGAGACAGAATACAAAGAGCAGCCTTATTGCGACGTAGCAATCTCTTCCTGGCAACCAGAGGCTTGAAGAAAAAAAAACTATGTAAATTAAAGAGGGGGATGCAAAATGGAGAAGTAAATAGATAAATCTGAATAATGTTACATAATAAACAAAAAAGAAGAAACAAGATTAAGTTTGAAAAAAAACTATACATAAATATCTGTTTAAGTTAAATTCGAGAAAATTTGGATTTTTTTTATTTCATTTTCAATAGTACGGTTATGGATAGTGTGCACTTATTTATATGCATTACATTTTTTATTGTAAGCTGTGCTTTTTTGTACGTAAATACCCAAAGTAAAGTAAAATATAAAAGACTTTTCACTTTAATAAAAAACGTGGCGGCATCACACAAAGTGAAGTTAAAAAATCAACGTTCAAAAACACACAACGTTTTTGTGCCAAATTCTCTTGAAAAAAATTTACATATCTAATTGAATGTTAGATTATATCATTGTCGACAGACATGGCACAGTGAATGATCATTATCAACTCATTTTTTGTCATGCTATGGCTTCTTATTATACACGGACAAGCGGCTTAACTTAAATATTATCACAGAACAAAATAAAAAACCGTAGAAGTATAAAACTAACCGTGTCTAATAGAAATTACTATGCCATCAAATTATTTATTCATGCATTCGCCAACGCGTTTCTAATATTAAATTAAAAAGGTTAATTATCCTTCTAATAGAAATGCGAAATATTGTGAGGATGGATTTACATCTGTAACTCTTTCACTCAAAAACAACTGAACGGATTATGATATGCGGGTAATTCTAGGAATCAACTTAAAAGCTTTATCCTATTAAACGATTCCCTAGGGATAATTGTAAAAGTCATCGTGGAAACTGGTGGAAAGCTAGTAACAACAAAGTCATTAACGATTTATTATTTTGAGAATGTCTTATTGGCATAATATGGATGATGCATGGTTAAAAAAAAAGAAATTCTATTTAGTCCGTCAGTCAGATAATATAAAGATATTACTCGTAGATAATTACTTTTGTTTTTTAATTAATAGTAATTAAAGTTGAGTAGTGGGGTCTCGCTGCGTCACATCATGCGATATTTCAACTCAATGCATGGCCGTGATTTATTGATTATGCAATACAATACGTGTTTAAAATTCTCCTAATAATAATTTAATTGATGAACAGACACTAAAAAAATCTGTCATCTTCCCTATTCCGCCATTTTCTATTTGCAAAAAATAAATAATATAACTATATACTCTACTATTTAACAATGACAAATAGTTGGCAGTACTGTCATGTAATGATTTATTAAAATGATCCGTGATGTCATTTGTCGACATTATCGGATCATGTTATCCGTATACGAGTCAAAGAAAAACATTACAGCTGATTGATTGATCAATCTTGACCGCAATGCTCACAAAAAAAACTCTAATGAATTGTGTTTTGTAATTAAGTGATCCTCCACTACTGTGTTAATTAATCTGAACAATAGCGAAGCAATGACGTGGATTCGTTTATTTTTAACTATTGAGAATATGAATGTTGTAGTTTACAATCATAGAAAATAAAAATATATTTTGGTTGAATGCTACTTGAATGTACGCAATTGCTAATGTGAGATATTGGGTTCCGATACATTGATCGCAGCGTTCAAAGCAACATATGCTGTTTAATAACACTAAAAATATGGAAAAACTAGCTGTTTTCTCGCAATTTCACCTGCGTAAATTATATTTTCAATAGCCTATGTCGCTCGCGTCTGATATAGCTTCAAGTAGGTGAAACAATTTTCATG